TAAATTGGAGCTGTAGAACAGTTTAGTACAAATTCTGCATCAGAAGATATATTCAGATGACACAACTTACCAACATCACCTATTTACAGTGAAAAAGGATTATCATACGTCCAAGACACGGAAGTAGTAGAAAGTAAAACAGGAAGAAAAACAAATAAATCACAAACAGAACCAAGTAGTCAAATAAAATAAATTTCAGGTCATGAAGATGCCTGACAATGAGTCACAGCAGGTTGAATGGTTCCATGCAGCTTTGTTTCGAGAAGATGAACCCAAAAAGGGCCGGCCATCCATTCGCTGCACCTGAAGAGGCCTTGAAGAGAGTTGAAGAATGCTTCAGCACCAAGTCAGTTAAACAGAAAAGCCACCCAAATTACGGACTTTGAATGCAAAAATCTAAATTGGAGATACGGGATAATCAGAGATAAGCGATGAGGACTTCTGAATAAATGAGTTTGGGTTTGGGAATAACTGAAAAACAAAAACACTGAATAAACCACACCATTTGGAAATGGCTGCTGTTATTTGGTGTGCAAGGATGAGAGGCCAGCAAGAATGCCAATGCTGTTAAGATTATCTGATTCAGAGAAAATGAGTGCATCCTGATACTTTTCAAATTTCTAAAGACTCAAACAAGCACATATTTTCAACATACCACTTCTCAAGAACAGTAACAAGTACTATACGATGTGGAAACTATAGGCAAAAGTACCGCTAATTTTGTGACAAAGTGGTTCAGAATGATATCCCTGATTTCAGTGTTTTCAGACAGGGAGACTTTCCATGCTCACAGGTACTAGCATTCAAGCACCTTCCTCCACACCCGATAAACTCAGCCACCTTATTTCAGACGTTCTGGACTGCAAAGACACATAAACGTGATTATTTATGATTATTTGTCTCGCTGGGGCAAATGCCTTTATTTCTGTAAATACAGCCATAGACAGCCACTGCAGATGACCGCTTTTTGGCCTTAGGCCTTGAAAATTAATGATGACAAGGAAACCTACATAGGTTTTCTCTGGGTTAGATAATAGTAATAGACTTTCATTGTCTCTTTTTCACAAAATATAGGTACTTCAAAACTGTGTGGTTGGATTATTTACACAAATTTTCCTTATCACATTTTCCTTCAGCCTCATATTTATCTCTTCATTACTTCTATCTGTTTTCCTGGCTTGTGTTCAAGCACTTGATTTACACTTAACTACATTATAATGAAAATAAAATAGTTACATCTAAGAAGCAGTCACACCTCTGCAGAATTATGCAGCTTTTTCTCTTCTCTTTTTCCCTTCTCTTTTTCCCCAGCTGTAATATTTGAAGAACTTCCTTCATGTATCTCTATTTGTCATGCTCACAGGCAAGCTCTGAGTATGCAAGGTTTCTGCAGAGCTGAGTTTTGCAGAAAAATGCCTGTTTGCAAAAAGTGTGCTTCCCTCTACCCTTCCCCTTTTTTGTGTTTCCAATTGCTATCAAGATAGCCATGAAAACATGATTTTTAATATAAGCAGACACAGTATTTCTACTTTCATTCTGTAATCCGCGGATGATTTGTAGAAGGTTCTCCATTATCTCCAAAGATTGTTAACGTGGAAACTTAACATCATCTCACCTTTCAAAAGTACTTAAAATCTTAAAAAGTAATTAAAATTACCTTTTACAAGATAGTGTTGTTAAGTACAGCACTCCTAATTCTTTCAGCAAACGTTCAATGAACCTGACTATCCAGATGTGAAAAACGTCTCTCAAAAGAAAATAACAAATGCCTTGATAGTATTACAGATTTGTATATATATATACATATAAAATCACTTCCTTTTTTGCTGAAACAAAGTTGTCTGTGAATGTCATCATAGCAATCACAGAATGTGAAGAGCTTGCTACATCATTCATGCATAACTCCTTACGGTGCAGGAGGCTTTATTCAAAGAGCTCTGTTGTTGAAGACAATATACTGTCACCTCCCTTGGACCAATGGTGGTGTGACCGCTCGTAAGTCTCCTAACGCTGTCTGGGGTGTTTTAGCCTTCATCATACACCTCTCCCATAACATTTCTGCCTGAAACAGGAGCAGTTCAAAATCTTCTGGCAGTTTTTGTCCATCCTCTGAGACACAGGCTATTCCTCACCTTCAAAGATCAATAATTTGGTTGTTTTTTTAACATGTAAGACTGCAAGCTTATCAAGCACTCCCAGAAAGCCTGACCTCCACAGTGAATACACATGCTCCTTCAATTCTTTCTATGCGGAGCGTGTCAGTAAACAAGCCATACAAACTGCAAGGCAGCAGCCACCGCCTGGGCTGTGATCGTCACGAAGACTGTTCTCTGGCACATCAGTCAGATTCGGGCCAAGCTGATCTGGGTGAGAGGAAGCTAGTTGTCATGACTTCTGTTACTTAAAAACGCTTGGCTTAGAAGGATAAACACCACCCAGCTAAGTCTAATCTTAAAAGATCAATTACATGTATTGCCTTTAGATGCCTTTAAAGGAGGTGACAAGGGAGGGACAAGTCCTGGCCCAGTGCAGCTGTATGAGTGGCAGATGCTCCCTCTCGGCAATAGAGTATACTCAAGAACAGGCTTCAAACTGTGTCTGTGCTATTATGTTAGCTCAAGGCCACAAGCTTACACGTGAATCCAAACTCCCTAAATATCCATGCTGCAACTCCGGCCTGGAGAGAGCAACTGGGCCAAAGAAAATCAGTTCTTGCAGGTAGTTGGCACAGCCTGCAGCTCTGCTTCCAGCAGCAGTAAGGCCACAACTGCTGGAGCCACTTGATGCTCCAAATGCAAGCCCAAACTCAAGCGCAGCTACTAGAGGTATTAAGGACAAAAGCAGAAAATCTCTCTGAAGCGTTGAGCCCAAGCTCGGCTCTTTGGTGCTGGGACGGCTCTCCAGAAGGGACTGTTAGCTAAAAGGAGTTCTCCCCATCAACCCACCTTGTGCTCAGACACCTCTGCTCATGAACAGCACAGCTGGACCTAGCAAGAAACCTAACAGGGCCCTGGACAGTATCCTTCAGTGAAACAGCAGAAAATTCCTGTGGACTTAAAATCCCATCTTTACCTCATTCAGAGAAGTGTTAATCGCTGCCTGAGCAAACCGAACATTTCCTTTCATCTCTCAGCTGATTTGCACGTAACCCTCACGTGATCATTTTTGGTTTATCTTGTGATAAGCACAAAATACTGTCACAAGATGAGCCAGACTTTGGACCCGGACAGGCAGAGGAGAAAGACAGTATCCTGTACAGTTAATCTCAGGCCAGAGCAGCACTTCTTCTGAATCACTGTGCACTTGCGTGCATGTGTGTGCGTGTGCGCACGTGCGCATGCGCCTGGGTGTGTGCACCTGCATGCCAGAGCAAATCAGTTAGCCATCTGAAGCAAACGATCAAGGGCAGTGCGCTTGCAAATCACGTTGATCCTGTACTAAGAGACATGTGACAGGCCAGTGTTGTCCTTAAATATGGGACTGAATGATGTTGTCACATGCCAGTGAAGCAAATAAAGCTTTCTCGAAGATCACGTGACCCACGTTGCAGTTAATCTGGTATGAAATCAGTAATGCAACAAGGTGCCATAAATAGTGCATAAACAGACAAGGCTTCTGACCGTGCCCTGCCGTACGTGCACTGTCTGCCCCGGAGGACACATCCTTCAGCCCTGCTGAAGTCTCGCAGCTCCGACCCCCTCCATGGCATACATCACGGCAGATACAGGTGGTCGTATCTAAGCGGCAGAACTGCAGGTTTGAATGAGCACGACCTTTCGTGCAGTGTGGGAGCATGTGCCACAGCGGCAGTCCCAAAAGAGAGAGACATCACCTCTGCCACCCCACCTTCGCCCTGACACGCTGCACCAGCTAGGTCAAGCTGCTGGGCTCTAAAAAACTAGATGTGTTAATCGGAGATGGACTGCTGGCTAACAACTGTCGCTTTTCTGCGCTCTGATAAGCCAAGAGCGTGTGCAGGGGGGCAGCTGTAATAAAACCACCAAACCATTTCTGTTCCCAGCCAAGAAAACGGCTTTTCATCACGTGAGGTGGGTCCCCGTATTAGTCTTGTATCATACCGTATGCCTTGTGCGATCTTACTATGCTCCTGGCCCTAAGGCTATTGGAAAAAATCCTGAAAGCACGTCGTCAGGGCAGGATGCATTGAAAAGCAGAGGTCTGGGGCTGAAGAGCTGCAGGACAGGTTGTGGGCAGACACGTTCCCCAACGTCTACGGAAAGCGAAACGTTGTGGGGAAGAGCCGAACAACTGCAGAAGCCCCGGCTCGCCCAGAGACGGCTCCCGCACGCACCGGCGCCAGGACGCGGGAGACCCCACCAGCCGCTCGCACCCCCTCGCAGGACTGCGCTGCCCCCTCTCCTCGGGGGCACCCGGCGGCCAGCCAGCCCCGTCGCTGCCCCGGGCCGTGGGGGGG